CGGGGGGAACTGCGCAAAAAACGCATCCTCGTACCGGCAGCCGGTACGCTTTCTACTAGGTTTTGTTTCGGGCTATTTAGCCTGTCGCTTCCTCTAAATCACTGTTGTATGCGAATTACCTTTTGGCGGTTTCAAACTTTGTGCTTTGCAGAGCGAGCTTTTTGCAAAAAAAAGCTTTAAGCTCAAAATTTTGATAAAATAAATCACTGTTGTCTTATGTGTGGGATAGTTTGTCCGCTGCTGCCTTACTTATCTAACAGATTAAACTGCAAAGAAAGTATCTTACCTGTAGCTTCTCGGTCCTCATATTTTGGACAAATTTATCATGGTCTTCACGTTGCTTATTGGTGAGTTGGATTAGGCGATTGCCATTATCCATCTCTAGTTGCGCGATCTGCTGCTGCAGCTGCGCACAGTTGCGATGTAATTCCTCAAACAATAAAGAATTAGTATTCAGGAATAAAATAAAGAAAAGACACTGCATTCCTGAGTTCACTGACGTTTTCAGTTACATGTGCGTTCGCTTCATATCTCTCCACTCAGCTCCCTCAAGCGCCGAGAACAACGGCTTCAGACAAAAGGGGCCTTAACTAAAAGAAAGTAAACGAATCTGGCCTACTCAGTGATTTAGCAGCCTATAGCTTGGAGCTCTGAAGCAAAATACAAACCTTGTTTTCGCGTTCCAGCGCGCTCAACGAACTTTCAATTGATTCACGCTGTAGCGCAGTTTCCTGGATGATATTTTCGGCAACCCGTTTCTCGGTCTCAAGCTGAAAAAGTTCGTGAGAAATGAAAGTGAGTTTTGAAGTTAATTTTACTGCACATAGTTTAATGAGTCCTATTTGAATTTATGTAAGAACTGCTGCCTTAACCAACCGCAGTACTTAGAAATTAATGCGTTACAATGTCACTAAACGACGAAATCGAAGAATCTGAATGCTCTGGGTGATCCCAGGAACACTTACACTACCGCTTGAGTGCGAAAATTACTGACCAATTCAATTCTCTTGATAAGTGTCTGACGGATTTTCTCGAGCTCTTCAAATTTGTTGCCGAGGATCTTCTTTTCAGTCTCGATACGGGCAAAGCGGCGTTGCAAATCTCCAAGCTCATTCTGCAGCGAATTACGCTCGTTCATTGCCGACGACAGTTGCTGACGAAGCTCGGTTTCGGATGAGCGTTGTTGAGATATAGTCTGAAAGTTCAACAATCTGCTGCATTTCAAATGCTTCGAATTCGTATAAAAAAACAAGTGACGGAAAGTGCAAAGACTGAACGGCATAAATTCTACTCTCAAAGACACAAATTCTGTCGGAATTCTGTCGGAATCAAAAGAGTGATGCAATTAGCGAAATGACAAAAATTGAGTGAAAGAAGAACAAAATTAATACCAAAAATACCAACTAAACTGACTGATATAGATCCAGAAAACGAGAAGAAGTAAAGGGCGATTAAACACTGGCGAATAGAATGAGGCAAGTAGTGTCCAAACGAACTCAAGCAATAACCTTTTCCAGACCGAGCAGTCTGTCAGTCAGGCGTTTTTTGTCATTTTCGGCATCATTGAGATGTCGCTGTAAATCCGATATGCGACTGCTGTTGTCACTGAGGCGCTGTTTCAGATCACGCAGCTCAGAACGCACCATGAGCAGTTCGCTTTCAAGTTGCTGTTTACGGTTGTTTGCATTCGCCAAGTCACTTTGCGCACTCTCTAGCTGAAAATGCATGCTACTGGTAGCAGTATCATGATCAAATCAAATCTCTTAGTTTTGGTGTTATTCGCAGTGCTGATCAGAACATCCATCACGATGAAAAACCTTTTTTCTTGTTTTCTGTTGGCTGTTCGTTTTTTAAAATGTGTTTTGAACATCAACCAAGACGAAAAGATTACTACTGGTGCTAACTAATATGTAGTGGTATACCTAAAATAATACACGAACGAGTGTTATATGTAGTGGTATACTTAAAATAATATATAAACGATGTAC